CGGGCAGCCTCAGGACTCTCTCCTCCTCTGCCTCTCTGCGGGCAGCCTCAGGACTCTCTCCTCCTCTGCCTCTCTCCGGACAGCGGCCGGAACGCCGGTCACAGCCTCAGGACTCTCTCTCTTCCAGCCCTGGGGGAGAGAATATTGGTTACAGCCCGGAGTCTCCCTGCTCACTGAGGCGCTGAACTCTCCCACTCTCCCACTCTCTCCCACTGACCCCCTCTCCCACTGACCACTCTCTCCCACTGACCCCCTCTCCCACTGACCACTCTCTCCCACTGACCCCCTCTCTCTCACACTCTCCCACTGACCCCCCTCCCACTGACCACTCTCTCCCACTGACCCCCTCTCTCCCACTCTCCCACTGACCCACTGACCCTGGACTGTGGGAGGGAACAAGAGCACTCCGGGGGAAACGCAGGGAGAACATGCAGACTCCACACAGACAGCACCCCAGGTCCAGAACTGAGCCCAGGGCTCCAACACTGCGAAGCAGCAGTGCTGACCTCTGCGCCACACAGACTTCGTCTCCAGTGAGTAAAGACATCAGATGTCAAACCGTCCAGTTAGCAAACAACCGTTCGTGTGGAAGAGCACTGAAAACCGGGACCGGGAGGCACTTCTCTACACTGAGGGGGGTGGGAGCGTGGAACAAGCTGTCCAGACATCATGTGCTCTCAACGCTCGACGGGGTGAAAAACTCTCTGGCCCTCCCGAGAAACGAGCCAGCGGTGTGTGTGTGTGTCTCTGGGGCGTGTTTCACCGGAGCTCGGTTTAAAATGACGCACTTCCACAAGCACGTGTAAACAGTTGCGTAGCGCTGAGAAACCTCTTCCTGGTACGTACAGAAGCGAAAAAAAGAAGTGATAATAATCACGCTGATTCTTTCAAAACACCCCGTCTCTCGGGCACCCCCGCCCCCCCGTCCTCGGGGCTCAGAAAACAGCGCTCTAGCGCGCGAGGAGAGACTGACGGGACCCCCGGCTGCCGAACCTCACTTCTGTGTGCCCCCAAACACCACCACCACCCCGAACAGCTTAAAAGTTTCGCCTTCAACAACAACCCAAAAAACCACCCGAAAGCTCCTGTTGCAATCCGGGCAGCACCAGTCAGCCGAAGCCGAGTTTGAGGCTTTTTTTTACTCATCTGACGCCTCGGCTCAGACAGCGCGACGAGCTGCCCGCTCCTGAACGCAACGGAGAATAATAATGCGGTTCTCTTGCCGTCTGTTTTACCGGTAATGCCGTCCTCACCTCTCGTTCCCTCTCGGGGCCACCGGCATCACTGCGTGCCCGCTTGGGCGACCTGCCTGCAGGGTTAGATTCTGTCGGAGGTCCCGCTGACCCGACTCGCCGGCCGCCCGCCCCCTGGTGGCCGGCCGCCGGAACGCACAGGAGCCGGGTGAGATCTCCAGACAGCCTCCTGCTCCCCGGGACGCGTGTCAAGCAAGACCGGCCGGCTCTGTGTTTCAAACTCTCGACGGGCCGGTCCCGACAGCTTCAGGGCGCGTTAAGCAGGGACTAACCCGGACTCCGCACCCCCGGGAGGGCTGACGAGCCCCGAAAAACAAAACCAAGGGATCAACAGCCCCACCCCTCACCTGCTCGGCGCCCCTCCGACACGGCCGGGTCCTCACGGCGCAGGGCGAGTCTCCCCTCGGACCGCGGGCCAGCGCTGGGCGGTAGGAGCGGACACCCTGCCTGCAGCGGACTGTGGCGACTCACCCCCGCCTACCCGAGCCTGCAGCTGGGTGGGGCGAAAGACAAACTCGCACCGTGATTAAGGAAGGAAGGGAGGGAGAGAGATCTGGGCCGGACTCGCTCTCCGGCGCCTGCCCCCGTGTCGTTCGGAGATGGCGCTGGGTTTAGCGCGTCCTCTCGGTTCTCTTCCGGAATGTGCCTGGGGGACACTTTCTTCTTTGTACAGATTCTGAAACAGCTGAACCGGTGGGGGGGGGGAGTTCTTTTAAGCAGACGAGGCGGAGACGCGAGTTCTCTCTGATCAGCCGGTTGTAACAGGCGGACTGGTTCCACAGCCGGCCTGCTCTGGTGTTCTCACGCAAAGAGAACGGAGGCGATCTGAACTGGACAGGTAGACTACTCCCAGTGTGGTCCTCTGAACTGGACAGGTAGACTACTCCCAGTGTGGTCATCTAAACTGGTTTGATAGATTATTGCCCATGTGGTCAGTTGAACTGGTTTTGACAACAACATTATTCACCGTGTGGTCATCTGAACTGGTCTGGACAGATAGATTATTCCCCGTGTGGTCATCTGAACTGGTCTGGACAGATGAATCCCCACATGGTCAGGTATGCCTGCTTCTCCTGCCGAGCAGGAATGCTGGGAAATGCAGTCCTCTGGAGTGCCTCCATCGCTCTTGTAGTCCAGGAACTGCGGGGGGGACTGCTGCCCCTGCGTCACCCCCGGGTGGTCCAGTCTCTCCCACCGGCAGCTGGACCAGCGTGTCCGCGATTCGACTGACCCCCCTGCTCGTCTGGACAAGACGCGCAGCCGCGGTCCGGCCCAGGGCGGCACTCGGACTCGGACACGGGGAAGCGTGAGCAACTGTGGATTTTAATTTCAGGCAAGCACGCCCCCGGAAGGTTAAAAAACACAGAACAAAAATCCTCTGTACAGTCCGCCCATCCCCCCCGCAGTCCCGAATCGGAGAGCACAGATTGGGTCCGTCACACTGGGGCGGGGTGTCCTGCCCGGAGCTCGCCACCAGGGGGCGACGCTAGCCGCTCCCCCCCTCCCCCTCCCTGTTGACCAGCTCTGAGAATAAAGCGGGGACACAGAGAGAGAGAGGGGTCACAGATCCCGCACCCCCCCGACCCCCCCAGTCTGTCCAGGGGACGACGAGACAGACTCCCCCCTGCTCCGCGCGGCCGATTTCCACCAGGAGAGAAAACGCGCGTCCGCCGCTCTGCGGGGGGGGTCTGGGGTCCCGCGCCCCCCCTACTGCCGGTCGGCCAGCCTCTGCAGCAGCGCGATGATGGTGTCCTGCTTGGAGGAGACCAGCTCCAGCGCGGCGGCCATGCGGCTCACGGCCTCCAGCGCCGTGGCCTCCCTCCTCTCGCGCCGGCGCTGCCGGGCCTCCTGGCGCCGCTGCCGCTCCTCCTCGGCCC